ATATCAGAAGTGCACAATCATCAGCGAAACTAGAAGCAATATCAGCTGTGATACAAGAGCAAAAGTCAGAAGAATGACAGCGAGATGCAGTTACCTGCAATCGGTTCCAATAATTCTTGCGTGACATGAGAGTCAAAATAGTCTGCAATAGTGACGAACGGGTCGATGACGTTGGGCGGAAGCAATTCGAGATACGTCCTCCACACATGACCAACCATCCAGGCGGATTCTCGAATATCGTAGTAATGCTCCTCAGGGTCCGCCGCTACTTCGGTATTGTCGATCAAGCCACCGAGCATTCCACGGACAATAAAATGAATTGGTAGCTTTTCGCCTCCGATATCGTCAACGAATATTATGGGAAAATCTTACCGTTCGAACGGCATGTCAACACGGCTGTCAAACGGTCCGAATGTTTCTGCTTCTTGTCCACACGCGACGAATGTCCTTTCTCCGCCCAAATTCTGCCAGGGGCATCCGTAGTGGACAGCCGTCTTGTCAACATTGAGGATGTCACAAGGCTCGCACTCGTATCTAATATTGAAATATGAACTTTTTTCGAGAATTGTTTAGATTTTCGTAAATATTTGACTCTTTGAGCTGGAATTCAATCGTTGATACACAGCTCAAGTGGAGGTTTCCTTCAGAATTTGATTATTTATCTTTTGTGATATTCCGCATTAAATTTGGATAAGAAATGAAGTTTACAGTCGTGGGCAGATTCCAGGGGTCGTTTACTAATTCAATTTCCTTGTACAGGGATGTATGTGACGTGACATCATATCACATAATTTGGAACCTCCGAAACTTTTACTCAGAGTATTATGCAACGCAAAGAGGTATAAAATTCAATTAGAAGTCAGTTTACCTTTCTACAGGTACCAAGGGCCATAGTCGTCCTCCATGTCGCTTATGGACCAGTTGCTGCTACTTGATCGATGGTCGCAGATATGATCATCGTCGTATGATGCATGGCTGATGCCTGGTAGCACTTGTTCGTCCGCCGCCACGTCTTCTTCATCGGCAGCATCCTGGAGACCTAGGTAGTCCCACAACTCGGTGAGTCGTCGTTTCGATGCTGCAATACACCCATGGATTGTTGTAGACGTGAAGCCCTCAAAAACAGTCTTCAACCGCTCCAGTACCTCACGGAACGAAGTATTTACGTCGTATTGACGACCAACCTCACATATCATTATTGGCCAAATCAATTCAATAGGCTTTAAGCCCGAAGGATTCGGAGGCGTGTACACAACAGAATGCCCTCGCGACTCGGCCATGACCACCACAACAGGTACGATGTTGCTCTTGATGCGTGGCAAGATTTTCCCATATGGCAATTTTTTTCGTCCGAGTTGTAGGGGATACCATAGCGGTCCCAACTATCGTGCAGACGTGACTTGGCCCAGACATACTTTAGAGTGCCGTCGGGTAGGCATTTATGGTATTTCGCGTTGGCCATAACGATAACGACGTTCCTTTTCACCATGGCTTCCAATTGGCCGAGCAACGTGCCAAACCAGTCAACGAAATATGCACGGTTGAACATGACGTGGTAGTCTTTGGGCTCTTTGCGTCGTATTTTCCCCCTTGGACAATGCCGAGGGCAAGTAGTTTTGAGTTGTCTACTCCGTCGTCTGGTATCGCTCCAAAAAACCAATATCGTTGTTCCTTGTATTTGCATGACTTGCAGGTCTTATTCGTCATTTGGACCGTATAAACTGTCTTGATGACGAACGCAGTGGTGGTACTGTAGTGTACATCATGCTGTAAACGATGAGTGCTCATATTTAGAAAATTTTAGATATATTTTTGAAGCAGCTAACGCGTTAAGCACTCCGCCTGAAGAGTATAATCGCAAGATTGAAATTCAAAGGAATTGACGGGAGTCTACACAAGCGGTGGAGCATGTGGTTTAATTCGACAATACGCGCAAAACCTTACCAATCCTTGTTAATATTTTTAAAAAATTTATTTAAAAACTCTATAGGTATTTTAGGTTTTATTGTTTGGGCACATCATCCATGTTTTACAACATTTGACTTGCATGTGTTAAGCATACCAATAGCATTTATTCTGAGCCAGGATCAAACTCTATTAAAATTTTTAAATTCATTTTATATTGAATTAATTTATTATAAATTTAATAATAATATTTTTATTATTATATTTATTATTATTATTATCTATTAATTATTATGATAAAACTTTTTATTATTTATAGAATAAATATAATATTATTTAAATCTTAATTCCCTTTGTTAAAAAGTATTTAGATAAATTTTTTTTTTATACATGAATTTAAAATAATTTCAGATTTTATAAATTTTTTTAAAAATATTTATTTATTCTATAAAAATAATTTTTTTATAAAATTTAAATCTTATAAAAAGATTAAATAAAATATTTATAAGATTTAAATTTTATAAAAAAATTATTTTTATAGAATAATTGTAAAGTTACATAAAAAAAGCATAGAGGGGATGCCTAGGCATTAAT